CGGATGACCTGATCCGGCGGTTTGATCCATTTCTTACCTTTCTTCGTTCTAAACGGACGCTGAAATTGAAAGGGAAGAGAAAAATGTTTCTTTCTTTAATTAATTACTTTCCACTTTTCTTCTCCTCTTATTTCCTAACATGGTGCCACCTCTCAATCTCTCTGTAACCTCTCTTCTCCTTCTTAATTCTTTCCTTTTTCTCAATTCCTACATTCAATTTCTCAATTGATTGACACCACAAATCAAATTCCATAGACGTAAGAACTAGGTTTGCACTAATCAAATTTTCAATTGTTATGTATTTTTTTATTATAATTATTATGGTTAGTTTTTAGTATTAAATTCTTCTACTAAATATATGTAGAATTTTCAATTTAAAAATTAAGACCTAATTGCAGATGTACAATATAGTCATAAATTTTTATTTTCAAAATTTTGTATGTTACCGGTTTTATGATCGGATTTATACCGGTTAATCACCGATTATCCGATAAATCTTAAACCTCTTACTAATCCGGATCGCTGACCGGTCCGGTTTCAACAACACTGATATTTTCTCACACCAAGATCCCTACCCATTGTTTTATCTGGCCGTTCTTACTTCTTATCCATCCCTTCATTTTCTATTCTTTTATTTCGCTTTCCTTAATTATTCAGTAGAGACGATAATAAGCTTTTTCTCCTTTTCTCTTCCAATTTGAGATTTCCCCCATCTCGGTGATACTATAACAACACTCCTTTTGTTGTTATTGTAACAACACTAGTTTCCCACCAATAGGAAGTTAGGATAGTGATGACTTTTTATTAGTTGAGTTGACCTAATGTAAAATCAAAGCAGGGGTATAATTGTCATTATTAAAAAATAAAAAATATTTTTTTTTTCTGGCCAAAATTTTGGTCGCCGGAATTCGGCCACCGGAATCTGGTTGTCGATCACCGGAATATGCTTTTCGTCGCCGGAATATGCTATTTTCTCATCGGAATATGCCACCATCGTCGGAATATGCTTACCATCGCCGGAATCTAGTCATCGGGGCCGGAATATGCCTATTAGCGTCGAAATCTGCTCACTGACGGTCATCGGAGTTCGGTCAACGAACTTCGTTGACCGGTCAACAGTCAATGACCACCGGATGTTATGGTCTTCATGTGAGATTTATGGTTTGGTTTCTCACATTTTTGTATGCCTTTTGTGGTTTGCTTTATCGCGTTTGTGGTTTGCATTAAGAAGTTTCTGGTTTGCTTTATCGTGTTTGTGGTTTGTATTGAGAAGTTTCTAGTTTGCTTTCAAAAAATTTGTGTTTTGCATTGAGGGGTTTGTGGTTTGTTTTAGGAGATTTTTGGTATGCATTAGGAGGTTTCTGGTTTGCATTTTTGTGGTTTGATTTACTGTGTTTGTGGTTTGCATTATGAGGTTTCTGGTGTGCTTTTGCAAATGTTGTGGTTTGCTTTGTGAGGTTTGTGGTTTGTTTTAGGAGATTTGTGGTATGCATTAGGAAGTTTCTGGTGAGCTTTCGCAAATGTTGTGGTTTGCTTTGTGAGGTTTGTGGTTTGTTTTATGAGATTTTTGGTATGCATTAGGAGGTTTCTGGTTTGCATGGTTTCTGGTGTGCTTTCGCAAATGTTGTGGTTTGCTTTGTGAGGTTTGTGGTCTGTTTTAGGAGATTTGTGGTATGCATTAGGAGGTTTCAGGTTTGCTTTATTGTGTTTCTGGTTTGCTTTAGAAATGTTTCTGGTTTGCTTTGTGTTGCTTTCCATATTTCCAAACTAAAACGGGTGACCCGTTAACTCTTGACCCACTAACTTGACCGGGTCCAGGTCAACCCGCAAGTTGACAACCTTGCTAACACCAAACCCTAGTGCCAACTAATGTTTTCCTCACAATCAAATGTACGAAAATGAGCCATATCTCTAAACCATCCTATCCATCTCTTCTTTCACTTTCTAGAGACACCTCATTGGCATTTAGTTTCCTAGACTTGGTGGGTCGACTAATATATACTAGGGAGGGAGGGATTTTAACACATTTCCTTATTCTGCAGGATTTAAATCCGTAATCACCCCTTTCCTTTATTGGTTCAACTTCTTCCTTCTTCCCCAAACTTCCTCTGTCCCCATCTATCGTCTCACTCTTCCCTGCAAACGAACACGACGATGATGGTTTCAAGTTGGCGACAGTCAAAACACTATCGGCGATGGTCATGGTGCTTTCGGATTCCAGATCTACCTCCAGTCCTCCATCGCTCAATAGAAGCCGCCGCCATTCATGAGGGGTTCGCACTGCATAGACAATTCCAGATATACCGCCAGTCCTCCATCGCTCGATATCGAATCGGACAACAAGTTCTACTACAGACGTCGTATAGTGGTTGAGGCTTCGACAGGATTTGGCCGGAAAGCATAGCAGTAGTCTGAGGATGGGGAACTGCGATAGAGGAGGATTGGACCGTCGCGTCCCTCACCAACGTAGCCCTGACGACAGAGGAGGATGAGGAAGAGAGCTTCGAGCAGCTTCGTGGAATAGATCCGGTGCTCCGCCTCTGTTCTCCGTCTCCTTGGTTTCTCTTCTCCAACTCTCTCGCTTGTGGAAGCGCAATCGGAATCGTGCACAATTATTATGTGCTTTCTCCTCTGCTGTTGCAATTGCTAGGAAGAAGGGTCACTGTGCCGGCGCCGGAGGTAAGAAGAAACGATGAACTGAAGAAGACGATTGATATCTGAAGGATTGGGGATCGGAGAAGAAAGAGAAACACGCTTTTTGTTGTTTTTCTTTAATTTTAATTTTTAGTTTTTAGTTTTCTTGTAAGTTTACTATTATACCCTTGTTGTTACAGTAACAACAAAATAGGTGTTGTTATTCTATCCGCACCCCGTCCGTGGCTATCCCTGGCTATCCCCTGAGCTAAACGAAGCGACCAAACCGCTAACGACACTCGACGGAGTTCTTCAATGACGGGACGGCGGAAGAAAGAAAGCGCTAAATGAAGCAATGAAATCAGTGACAGCACTTGACGGAGACCTTCAACGTCCTTTAGACGAGCTGAAAGAACGCAGTAGCATCTTCCAGCTAGGAAAATAGTCCATCAAATTGATCAACGACGAGAAGATGTGGACTGTTAATTGTTGGTATATGGAAGCTTTCTCAGAAATCCCAGATCCGCACTCTTCCCAAACTAAATTCACGCTCCCAAATGGAATAATTCATGAACTATGTACGCTTTGCTGATAAAACGCGGATCGGCGCTTCAATGCGGGAATGTGGAGGCTAACTCCACGAATTAGGTGATCTAAATTCTTACTTGTCTAGCTCTCCTGCCTTGACTAATTTTGATTGCCGTTCATGTCCAGATAGTGGAGCTAAGAAGTGGTTTTCCATGGTTATGTAGAGCATAATGACTTTCTTCGGCAAAGACACAGGAAAAGACTGCTTGACATTCTCAGCTTTTGTGAGGGTATTGTTCTAGACCCGGTTAATTTCACTTCACATGTGTCCTTCCTTCCCTCTCTCATAAGCATGATTATGTCTACCCGGGCCTTTTTCAAGACCAAAGCAACTCTTATAGTTGAAGGGTACGACGCTTGGGTCTTCCGAACAGATCATATGCAGAGACATTAACTTCTTAACAACCTTGGTATGTATTCGATCATTCAATTTTACAATAGAGAGAAGTTAGGGTGCACATTGTACAGCAGTCCCTGGCCGGGGATGTCCTTAAGCCTCATTGTTTAAGGAGATTCTTAAACTATTTTTATTGGCTGATACTAGATTAGATAGTTAATGATGGTTGGTAGTTAATATTTAGTTTGAATAAATAAGATATTATAAAAATATATTTAATATTACTCATTAATGATTCTCTTTCTCTCTCTTCCTTATCTTCTCTATAACCCTCTCTCTCCACTACAATGAAAAGGGAATTCGAAATTCATTTAATTAATATTATTATTTAATATTTAAAAATTCAAACTTAATATTTTTTAATTTTTAAAATTAAAATTTTAAATATATGCTCTCTCACTTCGTGGCAACTTGCAATGCATTATTAACATTTTGCAATGACATTATCAGCATTTATGAAATGAATCGTTATTATTATACCTCATCACTATTAATGATTTCAATATACTTATCAATTCTTTACAATTACATTATTAACAATTTTGGATCAATTGTTACCGTTTTATGGTTTCGTCATCAACGCCTATGAATGAATCATTAAAGTTATGTAACATGGTCATTAACAGTTTGAATAACAATATCATTGATTTACAACATCTTTAGTACTAATGATTCACATTTTCACATCATGTTTATAACTATCTAGTCTATGATTAAGCAGAGACCTTCTTCTGAAAACATGATTCCTCTGAAGCACTCCCCGGCGACTAACTCCAGCCCCACTGGAAGGCCGCCGGACGTTCAGCAACCTCATCCTAATGGCGGTGAGAAGGCCTTGATGGTTCTTCCGACAGCCACAGCGGATCCCAGCGAAGCAAGGAAGATCACGAGCGACTCAAGTATGTGTATCGATACGCCAGCGCCAACAAGAGCAGAGACGGAGCGCCCTCTTTCCCCAGCCATGTCCTATGCAAACATTGTTATAGGACAGAGCTCTGAGGCCAATAAAGCCTTGGTATCGTGGACTCCGGTGGGCGAACATGATATTATCCCAGGAACCTTCAACGGAGAACCAGAGCTAAAGATTTCCGAGGGCTTCAAAGAGAAGCTCTGTGTCCCATGGCAGCGCACTCTGGTAGTCAGGACAATGGGTCTGAATATATCCTACATTACGTTTAGCAACAAGATCAAGGCTTTATGGCGTCCCTCGGGGTCAATGGAGATTATGGCATTGGGACAAGAGTGCTTTCTTGTCAAGCTCAGCAACGATTCAGACTACTTTCGAGCTCTAACGGAAGGTCCCTGGGTCATCTTTGACCACTATTTAGTAGTTTTCCAGTGGAAGCCAGCGTTTCGCCTATCGGATGCTATGTCAAAAACGATGGTGGTCTGGGTTCAGTTCCCGGCGTTTCCAGTGCACTTCTATCACAAAGAGGTCCTGTTCTCGTTAGGGAACATGATTGGTAGACCGATTAAGCTAGATTACCACACACAGCATCAACAGCGTGCCAAATTTGCCAGGATGGCAATAGAACTCGACTTGTCCAAACCCCTGGTGACACGCATTCGTTTGGATGGCCAATGGCAGTATATCGAATACGAGAATTTACCGACGGTCTGTTTTGAGTGCGGACGAGTTGGCCACACGTCGCTCACCTGCCCTAATCTGTACCCAAATCCGAAAGACGTGGAATCCGGAGCTGGACGACCGCCACCGGAAGGCCAATCGGCGACGACACCGGAGGAGAAGGCAGGATTTGGTCCCTGGATGTAGGTTACCCGGCGATCACGACGTGGAAATCGGAATTCCGATAAAGGAAACACCCGCGAGATTCAAGGAGACCAGGTCACTAATGGAAAGAATGGAAAAGGAAGAAATAACTCTAAAGATATGGAAATCACAACGGGAAGCAAAAGGCCAGCAAAGGAAGGTTTCTTTCAACGGGAGGATTTGGGTAGACAAACTACATCTGAGAAAGGAAAGAACACAGTGGCAGGGAAATCGCGTGGCAAAGAGAAGGAGGGGATAGAGTTGACGGAGATGACCACAGGGGGAAAAGGGGTTCTTGGCCCAATCCCTCACACGAAGCCCGCGTTAATAACTGGGCCCATAGGAGAGGAAACCCAGAGTAGGAAAAAGGAAGAGGCGAAGCCTGTCAGGAAGGGAGTGTCCACGTCAAATGGCGGCCCATTAATTCAAATCAGTAAAGATAAGCCCTCCTCATCTACACCACCAAAGGTTCTTGTGGGATCGGGCCCAAACGGAACCTCTATCCAGATTGTGACTGTTCCCCAATATGACACGAGGAAGACCCAGGAATCGGTCTTGGATGCCCCTTCGGCGGCAACCCGTACTAAGAACCAACAGAATCGGAAGAAGAAAAAATCAACTTCTCCACAGAAATCCCAGGTGCCGGTAGCCGCTAAGGCGCTCGAGATATGGTCTCCGATAAAGGAAAAGAAGAATAAGACGAGAGCTCGTTTAGCTTTGCTCACATTACAGGAAATAGCGGCTTGGACGGGAGCAGCTAAGTCACTCTCGACAGCAGATGCGGACACACAGGAGACGTCTTTCAAAGCTCAAGGCGGAATCAATGACTTTCCAGTTCCTGCCGCGACGGAGGCAAATGTCCGAGAGTTGACCACCGAGGCATCAAATGGAGAAAGCATGGTGGCAGAGGCTGCAGCGACGCTTTAACTGCTCAAGCTCTCCCTGCTTGCGCGCTCCTCTTTCTTTCTTCCCTTTTTGTCTTTTACTATGTCTATGCCTATTATCCAGAATTTCAAAATCATGTCATGGAATGTTGGGGGGGCTGGTAGCACAGCCTTCTCTAGGGGTATTAAGTTTATTGTGCAGTGCCATAAGCCTGACTTCTTGATTCTTCTGGAACCGCAGATTAGCGGAGAGGTGGCTGATAGGGTCTGCGGCAAGCTCGGCTTTCCAAATGTTATGAGAGTGGAAGGAGAAGGAAGAAAAGGAGGTATTTGGCTGTGTTGGGATGCCAGAATGTACTCGATAGAGCTGATCTCGGCTTGCTTTCAGCACTTGACAGTGAAGATTACTCGAAGCTCCTTCTCGCCCTGGTTGATGACGGCTGTCTACGTTAGTCCTAGACAAAGTCTGCAAAACTATTTGTGGGAGGCAATCTTTCGGACAGGGGAAGGGAATGAGCTACCGTGGCTTCTTACGGGGGATTTCAATGCTATCCGATCTCCCTCTGAGCAAGCAGGGCAAGCAACAACCTCCGTCTTTAGGCGCTGTAATCGTTTCAATAGCAGAATAAACCAAGCAGAGCTCATTGACCTGGGTTACTCTAGTCCCCGTTTCACCTGGACTAGAGGGGAGCCTCCGAACTCTTATAAAGCTAGTCGTATTGATAGAAGCATGTGCAATGCACCTGGAATACGACCTTCCCGGATACTGCTGTCAGTCACCTTCTGTGCTTGAATTTTGATCACCACCCGATCTTGACGGTGGTTGGAAAACAGGGAGTTCACTCTTCTCAGTCACGCCCTTTTCGCTTTGAAGGTGCTTGGCTAGCCCATGAGAAATTTGATGATTTTCTTGGTGATATTTGGAACTCGCAGGTCCCGCTTCAGGAGGCTCTCGAGGACGTGGCAGAGAAGCTGACTCAGTGGAATCACTCGACCTTTGGCAATGTGTTTCACAAGAAGAGACGGCTTCTGAGTCGCATCCATGGAATTCAAACTAAAGTTGCTGACAACTTTTCCCCAGGACTCTTTAAGCTCCAGGCCAAACTCGAGAAGGAGCTGGAAAGAGTTTTGGAGCAGGAAGAGATCCTTTGGTTTCAGCGAGCTAGAGAGCAATGGGTGAAATTTCGAGAGGGCAATACGGCTTATTTCCACCAGCAAGCTATTATTCGCAGAAGAAGAAACAGGATCGAAAGCTTGAGGGATAGCAATGGGCAATGGATCTCCAACCCTCGGGAGATGGAGGCCATGGTTTTTGACTTTTTCTCTCTGCTGTATCTGCAGGACTGTCAGAGTTATGTCGACATGATGCCTAAGCAGGCCTTCCCGAGGCTTGATCATGAGGATCTCCTTCTTCTTCTTTGCCCCTTCACGGGCGAGGATATCCATAGAGCTGTGCAAGACATGAAGCCTTTCCAAGCCCCCGGCCCTGACGGGTTCCAGGCTATTTTCTATCAAAGAGCTTGGCATGTTGTTGGAAAAGCCCTCATTGACTTGGCTATTAGTTTTTTCTCTACAGGTGTGCTGCCAGAGAAGGTGGTGGAGTCGACGGTGGTCCTTATCCCTAAAGTGGAGCACCCTGAGATGGTCACTCATCTGCGACCAATCTCGCTCAACAATGTGTGCCTCAAAGCCATCACGAAAGCCATCACCAACCGTCTCAAGCCTATCATGCGGAAGCTGGTCTCTCCTCGGCAAAGCAGTTTCATTCCAGGAAGGCAGACTACTGACAACATCATTGTTTTGCAGGAAGTTCTTCACTCTCTTAGGAAGAAAAAAGGAAAAAAAGGGGGGATGGTTCTGAAAATTGATCTTGAGAAAGCCTATGATAGGCTCCGATGGGATTTCGTTCGGGACACGCTCAAAGAAATTGGCCTACCTAGTTCCTGGATCAGCTGCATCATGTTTTGTGTGGAGAACAACAGGATGCGGGTGTTGTGGAATGGAGAGCTCTCAGACCCGATAACCCCTACCAGAGGAGTCCGCCAGGGAGACCCCTTCTCACCCTATCTTTTTGTGTTGTGCATGGAGAGACTTTCTCACAGGATTGATCAGGCTATTCACGAAAAATTGTGGAAACCTCTGCAATTATCCAAAGAAGGGCCTAAACTGTCTCACCTCTTTTTTGCAGATGATCTTATTCTGTTTGCAGAAGCTGAAGGTGCTCAGATTAGAGTCATCAAACAATGTTTGGATGACTTTTGTGACAGTTCGGGACAGCGAGTGAATTATAACAAGTCAGCTATCTTCGTGTCAGCCAACATCGACAGACGAACAGCAAGAAGATTGGCTCGCCGGGATGAAATTCCACTCACAGTTGATATAGGGCGTTATCTTGGAGTGATGGCAATTCATGGTCGAGTTACCAAGACCAGATATCGGGAGATAATGCTCCGAATTCAGAAGAAGCTCGCCCCTTGGAAGACGAAGCATCTCTCCATGGCAGCAAGGATCACGCTGGTTAAGTCCATTTCGGCCTCTATTCCCATATATCCTATGCAAACAGAGCTTCTTCCTTTGAATGTTTGCAGGTCTCTTGATCGGATTAACAGGAGCTTTATTTGGGGAGATACGGAAGAGAAGAAGAAACTCCACTTGGTTGGATGGCAACAACTGATTCAACCCAAGAGTGAGGGCGGCTTCGGCATCAGATCAACTAGACAGGTGAACCTGGCAATGTTGGCTAAGGCAAATTGGCGCATCATTAAGGAGAAAGAAGCGCTTTGGGTTCAGCTGGTGGAAGCTAAGTACGGGAGGGGTCGAAGCAATATGGAGCTTCTGAAGCCTGTTCAGGGAAGTTCCTTTACCTGGTCGAGCTTCATTAAGGCTGCTGACCTGATAAAAAAGGGTTGCGCATGGAATATTCACAAATGTAACCGGACTAAGTTTTGGATGGATGTGTGGCTTGCGCAGGTACCGCTTCAGGAATTGGCAACGGGCGAGATTCCGGAAGAGGATCGGACCGCAACGGTGGCGGATTATGTTGATGAAGAAGGAACTTGGAAGATTGAGAAGTTCCTCAACCTTCTCCCGCCAGAGATTCAACATCAGATTACTTTGCATGCTGTGGATCCTATGGCGTTGGAGGAAGATACCTTGTTCTGGCAACTAAGTTCCGATGGAAGGTTCACTACAAAGAGTGCCTATCTGATGCAACAGGCGACAGCAGCCACTACCAGCGATCAGAGATTTTGGAAGAAGATTTGGCAGCTGCCGGTACCCGAGCGTGTGAGGGTCTTTGTTTGGCTGCTTGCTCAGGGTAAAATCAGTTCAAATGAACAAAGGGCGAACCGACATCTGACGGAGGATCCTTCCTGTTATAAGTGCCCATTCCAAACAGAGAGCCTAAATCACATTTTTAGGGAGTGCCCACCTGCTGCCTACTTCTGGAACCGCGTGATTCCTGGTGATGCCCAAGCGGAGTTCTTTTGCGACAGCTGGACGATGTGGTTTAAAAAGAATGTTGACAACGAGGAGATGTCAATCGAAGGAATGCCATGGAATGCCTTCTTTTGTATCTCTTTGTGGTGCATCTGGAAGAATCGAGTTGAGGGAGTCTTCCATGGGGTGAGCAAGACCCTGTCGGCCCCGTCCCTTCACCAAGCGATCAAGATCAAGACTGATTTGTAGTATCGAGCATGGTGCACTCCGAGTCTTGCTTTGGGTAAGTCCAAGCTCCCTCCTAGTCGCATTGAGGTTCAAATCGAGTGGAAAGCACCCCCTGTGGGGTGGCAGAAGATGAATGTTGATGGGGCTGCTGGTCAGAATAATGGTTTAGCAGGAGCGGGGGGAACTCTTAGAGACAGCAGAGGTAGATGGCTGGGAGGTTTCGTCTCAGGTCTAGGAACGTGCTCTGCTACCATGGCGGAACTTTGGGCTATATATCATGGACTCAGATTGGCGTGGAACTCCGGATGCAGGGCCCTCATTTTGGAGACAGACTCTCAATTGGCTATTCAATTGGTGAACAACAGGACGGATCCGCTTCACCCTTATGCGACTCTCCTAACGACTATTAGGCGCAAGATTTCCCACGACTGGGTGGTAAGTCTGATTCATACA